AGTAGGGCAAATTTTAAATGGGATTATTTTTCATCTTCAAACAGCAGACCTGTTATCCTAAACTAGGGTTTTTAATGACCACAGCAAGCAAGCATGCAGCTTACCGCTTGAAAGACAGGGTCTTTCCTCACCCAAGCTGGAGTGCAGTGGCCCTCTGAAGCTTACTACAGCCTCAGACTTCTGGGCTCAAGTGATCCTCAGCCTCCCAATGGTCTTTGTAGACAGCCTGATGGAGTCTCATGGCACAAGAAGATTAAAACAGTGTCTCCAATTTTAATAAATTTTTGCAATCCAAAAAAAAATAAATAAAAATAAAAATAAATAAATAAAATTAAAAAGATAAAAAGATAAAGCATCCAAGCTCTTCCCTTCTCGGTTCTACCGCTTCTTCCTCTGACCCCGCCCCTCTCAACCCTAGGACCCGCCCCTCACGTCGGCGGAACTGCGCTGTGCAGAGCTCCACCACGCTCCGCCCCCTCCCCCTAGCGCGGCCTTTCATTTCCGCTTCCTGTGCGGGCAGCGCGCGAGCGCAGCTTTGGGAGGCGGAGACCAGCCGGTGAGTGCAGGCGGCGGGCTCGACCTCCCGGTTTTCGGGCAGGCGTCAGCCCAGCTTCTCCCTTTCCTTAGGCTTTTCCCATACTGCTGTAGGCTTCTGCTGCGTCCCAGCCCCGAGGATCGCTCGTTCCTCACCCCATTCGGCCTGATGGGCCTCAGGCCGCGCCCGTGCCCCGGCTGTGGGCCAGAAGTTGCCGCGTCGGACTCGGCCTGCGGCCCAACAGCTAACTTGTGTCCCCCATGGTCTGGAGATTTCACTTTTTGGGTTGTCTCTGTATGTTGGGGGGCTTTGGAACTTCTTCTTCCTCACTCTCAGGGAAAACTCTCCACAGCTGTGTAGGAGCATGGTTTCACATGCTAGTTCCACAACAGTTGTGTGAGCCTTCCACTGACTTTCCCTCAGTGCCCTCAGTGCCTTAGTTTACTTCTTATTATCACTACTTTTAGAGACAAGGTCTTGCTCTGTTGCCCAGGCTGGAGTGCAGTGATGTAATCATACTTCCCTGCAGCCTCAAACTGGGCTCAAGCAATCCTTCTGCCTCAGCCTGCCAAGTAGCTGGGACTACAGGCGTGCACCACCACATCCAGCTAACTTTTAAATAATTTTTTCGTAGAGACAGGGTCTTGCTATGTTGTGTTGGGATTACAGGTGTGAACCACCATGCCAGAAGGCTACATTCTTGGCCTTCAATTTAGTTATTATCTGAGAATGGTGATAGTCCCACATGGATTCTCCTTGGGATTAAGATGGCACCTTAAGGCCAGGCTTGGTGGCTCATACCTGTAATCCCAGCACTTTGGGAGGCTGAGGCAGGTGGATCACCTGAGGTCAGGAGTTCGAGACCAGCCTGGCAAACGTGATGAAACCCCATCTCTACTAAAAAGAATAATTAGCTGGGCGTGGCACGTGCCTGTAGTTCCAGCTACTCGGGAGACTGAAGCAGGGGAATCGACTTGAACCGGGGAGGAAGAGGTTGCAGTGAGCCAAGAGTACACGACTGCCTTCCAGCCTGGGCGACAGAATGAGATTCCATCTCTAAAATAAAAAAAAAGGCCACCTTGATATCACATTTTGCAGGAAGTGGGGCATTTGAATTAGGGCCTGGTCAGAAGTTGGCCCCAAATCACACTACACTTCTCTGTCTTCATCCCCGTAGGCCCGTTCCTCCCGCCGTCAGCCCTGCTGCCAGACCCTGACTTCTTCTCTGGCACCGTGTCCCTGCCCGGCCTGGAGCCCCCTGGTGGGCCTGACCTCCTGGATGATGGCTTTGCCTACGACCCTACGGCCCCCACACTCTTCACCATGCTGGACCTGCTGCCCCCGGCACCGCCACATGCTAGCGCTGTTGTATGCAGTGCCGGGGCCGTGGTTGGGGAGCCCCCTGGCCCTGAACCGCTGACGCTGGACTCGTACCAGGCCCCGGGCCCCGGGGATGGAGGCACCGCCAGCCTCGTGGGCAGCAACATGTTCCCCAATCAGTACCGCGAGGCGGCCTTTGGGGGTGGCCTCCTATCCCCGGGGCCTGAAGCCACGTAGCCCCGTGATGCCAGAGGAGGGGCACTGGGTGGGGAGGGAGGTGGAGGAGCTGTGCAATCCCAACCAGGATGTCTAGCACCCCCATCCCCTTGGCCCTTCCTCATGCTTCTGAAATGGACATATTCAAGCCTTGGCGAGAAGCTCCGTTGCACGGGTTTCCCCTTGAGCCCATTTTGCAGATGAGGAAACTGAGTCCGGAGAGGAAAAGGGACATGGCTCCCGTGCACTAGCTTGTTAAAGCTGCCTCTGTCACCACATGTCGGGGAACCTTCTCCAGTAGGATTCGGAAAAGATTGTACATATGGGAGGAGGGGGCAGATGCCCGGCCCTTCCTCCCCAGACTTGAGGGTGGGGGGTAGGTTGGTTGTTCAGAGTCTTCCCAATAAAGATGAGTTTTTGAGCCTCGGGGGTTTCGTCTATTCTGCGCTTGGGAAACGCCCTAGTTCCTTACGTAGCAAAGAAAGCCTCCTGGCTGGGGGCTCAGGCCTGTCATCCCAGCACTTTGGGAGGCCAAGGCGGGAGGATGGCTTGAGCTCACGAGTTTGAGATCAGCCTGGGCAACAAGACGAAACCCTAGTCTCTACAAAAAATACAAAAATTAGCCGGGCACGGTGGTGCATGCCTGTAGTCCCAGTTACTCGGGAGGCTGAGGTGGGAGAATCGCTTGAACCCAGGAGGCAAAGGTTGCAGTGAGCCTAGATCGCGCCACTCTAGCCTGGGCGACAAAGACAGACTCCGTCTCAGAAAAAAAATAAAATAAAATAAAAAAGATAAAAAGATGGCTGTAACATTCTAGTTTATGCCCTGAAAAGGGGAATATAGTCATTCTGTAGTGTTTGGAGATTTTGGGTTACCCTTAATTGTATGCAAGTTGTCTTACTGTGTATTGTCCCTTAATTTCAGGACTCAGATTTCATGCTTGAAGAAATGCAGGTTAGTTTAAACTTTCAAGTAAATTTTTTTTTTTTTTTTTTTTTTTTTCATCCTTCAAAACAGCAAAGACCTGTTGATCCTAAACTAGAGGGTTTTTAATGACCACAGGCCAAGCAGCCATAGCAGCCTTACAGCTTGAAAAGACAGGTGTCTTCCTCACCCCAAGCTGGACGTGCAGTGGCCCTACTGAAGCTTACTCACAGCACTCAGGACTCTCTGGGCTCAAAGTATCCGTCAAGCTCTTCCCAATGGTTCTTTATGTAGACAGCTGAATGGAGGTCTCATGGCACAAGAAGATTAAAACAGTGTCTCCAATTTTAATCAAATTTTGCAATCCCAAAAAACAAAAAAAAAATAAAATAAATAAATAAAATAAAAAGAGATTAAAAAGATTAAAAGCATCCAAGCTCTTTCCCTTCTCGCTTCTTACCCGCTTCTGTCTCTGACGCCCTACCCCCCTTCTCAACCCTAGGACCGGGCCCCTCCACGTCCGGCGTGGACTGCGCTGTGCCAGAGCTCCACCACGCTCCGCCCTCCCCTAGCGCGGCCCTTTCATTTCGTCTCTCCTGTGCGGGCAGCGCGCGAAGCGCAGCTTTGGGAGGCGGAGGACCAGCCGGTTGAGGTGCAGGCGGCCGGGCCCCGACCTCTCCGGTTTTCGGGCAGGGCGTCAGGCCAGCTTCTCCCTTTCCTTAGGCTTTTCCCCATAACTGCTTGTACAGTCTTCTGTGCGTGTCCAGCCCCGAAGGATCGCTCGTTTCTCCACCCATTTCGGGTCGCTGATTGGGCCTCAGGCCCGCCCGTGCCCCGGCTGTGGGCCCAGAATTGCCGCGTGACCTCGCGCCCTGCGGGCCAACAGCTTATCAACAGCGTCCCGCCCCATCGTCCAAAAAAAAAAAAAA